TCTCTGTGTGTGTGTCTCTCTGTGTGTGTGTCTCTCTGTGTGTGTGTGTGTGTGTGTCTCTCTGTGTGTGTGTGCGCTATGTCCCGTTAGCAGTGTGACTTTATGGTTACTGTACCATGCCATTGACAGTGAGTGGCAATGCCAGATTGCCATGCTTGTCCAGGTGGACAGCAGCCTTTCAAAGATAGCAGAGGCATAAGGAATTTAGCCATTCAGTACATATCCAGGGAGTGGTGAGTTATTGTGGAATTGTGCATAAAATCCAATGTGAGGGGCACCGCAGGGCTCGGTTAGCTCACTAATGATGCGCATTTGCTAAGATATGGCAAGAAATAGGCTGTATATAGACTTCTCTTCAAATAAAGAACCTATAATTATTGTTTAATCAAACCCCGTGTGTGATTGGTATTTTTTTTTATGCATTCGTTTTTGGGATGTCGGCATTGCTGGCTGGCCATCATGTATTGCCCATCCCTAGTTGCCCTTGAGAAAGTGGTGCTGTTTATGTCCAAGAGCCACACATAACATTGGCCTGGGAGGGAGTACAGCATAGCTTACCGCATTGATACCTTGACTACAGGGCTAAATTATACAGAGAGATTAAGAAATCCAGGGCAATAGTCCACAGAAATTAGAACGTTAGACTGTAATTTGAAGTGTAGTTTTGAGATATTAAAGGAAAAACAAAGGATAGATCGAACAAAACTAGTTCTACTTATTGGGAAAGAGGACATAGTCTAGATCCACTTCATTCAGAAATGAAATTAGGAAAATATTCTATATATGCTTGCAGCTCTCTTCTGCCAATGGCAGTTGATACTGGAAAAATCCTTTAAAGTTATAGGTATAGAAGGCAAAAGCAGTTATTTGAAGTTAGGTCGCAGATCAACGATGATCTTATTGAATTGACTTGAGGGGAAAAATGGCTTACTCCTGTTGTCAGGTTTCTTTGCTTCTACATTATTTTTATTACTCATTCCAAATTGCTGTATCATTGTGTAACATATGAAGCACATTTCAGACAAGTAGATTGGGTATAGATTAAGTTCAAGTTGTGCAGTGCTGCTAAAACCAATCTTCCAAGGTTCTCACAATGATGTACTTACATTTAAGTGTCATTTAATTTCTACAATAATTTGTCTTAATGTTTATCAATATTTTTAGGTGAGCAGGGACCAAAAGGAGCCAAAGGCATGAAAGGTGAAGAGCACCCAGGGTTATCTGGCCCACCTGGTCAAGCAGGTGAGATATAGAAAAACTGCAAACAAATAAAAAACAAAACACAGATAAGGTGATGGAGTGTGCTTGGTGTTCTAACATATTATGTTAAATGTTACAATGTCAGATCGTATCTGACTTTTCACAATGTGAATTCTACTCTTGGAAGTGCTATCATTGCAAGCTAGCCAGTGGTGTCTAGGCATTTCTAGCACAGAGGCAAAATCAGAAAGTTGGACATGCTTAGTTGGTGTTGATGTGATAGCTTCAGTCTTGGAAACAGGTCCATCTTCCCATGTCTTCTCCAGGTGCATTCACATTTTAACCGCAGTTCTCTACAGCAATGCTGTTTTGCAACAGTGCTGCAATTATAATTTTAAGAGCAATGTGAACCTGAAGTCAGGGCCAATCTAACAATCAATTGAAAAGGAGTGAGGCTTTACATAAAGGGTAACTGTATTTTATTTTATTTCAGAGCTTCTTCTTGCCCTAATATACCCAGTTTACAGTCTATCAAAGAGGATTTCCATAGGATTCTGCTGAGTATTCACTATAGCTTTGGCAGAAGAGCCACAGAAGCCCTGGTTTTAATTCTGCTTTACAGAAAATAAATACTTACTACTCTAAAAAAAATTGGTCAATAGCAAAACTTGAAACTTAGATGCAACAATATCCATACTAAACATAATTGTTGATTGTAATTTAGAGAATTCATAAATTCTTAATTTACAGTTGATTTTCATATTTATTTTCTTCTGTGCTTCAGACTTCTTCACAATTCATTCCATGAATATAATAATTTGAACAAAATAAGTGAGCTTTTAATCCATTACCACATAGAATCCAAAAGTTAAAATACAATGATCACAATCAGCAAACCTCTTTTAAGCAGGCTTGTTTCTACTTTTATTGTTTTTGGCAAATTCCTGTCCAACAACATTTTTGCATATTATAAATCAACAATTAAAGGAAACTTCCAAGGAATATTGACCTAAAATGACATTGGTATTGTTCAGGTAATGTTTTTCCACCTGCATTAGCATATTTTTAGCTTTTCCTTCTAGTATTAATTTTATTTCTACATTTTAACTAATGCTTTGTGTATTTGTTCTATGTTTTATGCTTCAGAGAGTATGGAGAACTGATAATGTAATGAGGGATGCAGTTGTATCCTTAACATATCAGGGAAACTACAGAAATGTCAGAAGAGGAAAATTCTTCAAGAAGACAGGATCTTGAAGATGTCTCCCATAATGTCAAGATTATCAGCAAAGGACCTGCTATGTATCTAATTGAGAGCTAAACCAAGTGTAGCCCACTTTTTGAGACACTAGTCTTTTAGGTGTGCTTACCCCATCACAGTCTTTCATTCGTGTTTTAAGTGGAAGGACATAAATGCTTGCCAATTATATCTGTCAGTATTTTCAGCAGAGACATAATCTTTTGAACTGCTGCCTTCTGCTTTTTGATATCTACAGGTCCAGAGACAACAGCTTAGTATAATTGTGGGAATTAGCTTTGTAGGTTTAGATTCAGTAGGGAGCCAGTTGGTGAATTGTGCTATCAGCTACAAAGATAACTGATCAAATTAAACCAAAAGATTGGCGATATCAGTGACTGGCAAAGTCACCAATGTCCTAAACTGTCTACCTATGTATTCTTCCAGCCTAACATTGGCATCATACGTACCATCATATTACCCATACATATATGAATATAAAGAATAATGGGCTGACGTACCTATCTTAAGCATAGGCAGCTTCATCCGAGTATGATGTAGTTACTCAACATTACTGTACTGCACATTAGTGGCACATAATGAAATATGAGAAAGAAAGACAGCAAGTCCTTTATGCGCCCCAACCTGATCATCCGTCCACTAATTAGTCAAAAGTTGTGAGCACTGTGAAGCAGACCAGAAGCACAAAAAGCAAATCACTAGCCATTTCATATCTAATGTACACTGCACACCCAATATGAAAAACTTAATAATTATCCGTAATTCTAGGTCTACCAGGATTACCAGGTCCGACTGGTCATGGACTGCCAGGAGTGGATGGGGAACCTGGAAGGAATGGAGCGCCTGGGAGTCCAGGAAAGCGTGGAGCACCAGGACCACCCGGAGTATGCGATATATCAAGCTGTTATAATTCCTATAATAATGGCCGAAGCCCTTTTAACAAAGGACCACATTTTTGAAGGTCTAGGAGCTGCATCCAGTCACATCTCATGTGTCTTTTACTTGCTGCCAAATAGGAGGAAACAGTTTCTCAGGAAGAACACAGTTGGCACGTGAACCAATAGCTAATTACAGGTTGCAGTCTGTTATCATGGTATGCTACTGATTTCAATACAAGCATTTTAAACACACCGCGTGCAGTGCATGTATGTTTATCCCCTACAGATTTTTTAAATAATAAATTTTGATAGCAGCTTTACTCTTGACTCTGTAAGTAGTTCTTGTAGAGAAAAAAGTGACAAATGTGATAGTTGGCAGTGTCTATTATAACCTGATCACATGTTATTGTAGAACCTTAAGGTCATCCCATTAAATGCAACGGGAAGAAAATTCAGCAGAGTCCATCAGATTACTGATGGGACTGAGAAGCTGCATTTGACCATTTGTCTAGAATGTTTTGCCATCTTTGATTTTTTTTTTAGGCCATAAGAGGTAGTTGAAGAAGTAGGCCATTTGGCTAATTGAGTCTGCTCTGCCATTTAATGAGATTATGGTTGATCTGATAATCTTCAATTCCATTTTCCTGCCTTTGCACTTTACCCTTGATTCTGTTAATGTTTCAAAATCTGTCTGTCTCAGCCTAGAATATATTTAGTGACCCAGCCTCAACTGCCCTTTGTGGTAAATAATTCCACTGATTCACCACCCTCTATTTCTCCTCATCTCTGTCTTAAATGAGCAATCCCTTCTTCTGAGATGATGGTCCTAGACTCTCCTACAAGGGAAAACATCCACTCCCTAAGATTCTAAGATTCTTATATGCTTAAATATGGTTGCTTCTCATTCTTCTCAACTCCAATGAGTATAGCCCAATCTACTCAACCTTTCCTCATCAGACAGTTCCTCCATACTTAAATGGGATCCATTTAGTGAACCTTTTCTGGACTGTCTCCAATGCCAGTATATCTTTCCCTAGATAAGGAGCACAAAACTGTTTACAGTATTCCAGCAATTGTCTGACTAGTGCTTTGTGTAGTCTTAGTAAATCCTCCCTGCTTTTATACTCCATTCTCTATGAAATAAAGGCCAACATTCTACTTGTCTTCACTGAATTGGATGCTAGTTTTTTTGTGATTCATGCAACAGGGCACCACCAAATCACTCTATGCGGTAGCTTTCTGCAGTCTTTCCACATTTAAATAGATTCAGCTTTTCCTGCCAAAATGCATAACCCCTCATTTTCCTATATTGTATTCCATCTGTCAAGTTTTAGCCCAGTCTCTTAACCTATCTATATACCTCTGTAGACTCCTTATTGTCATCCTTACTACTTTTCTTCCCATCTATGTTTATACAAACCATTAACTTGGTGATAGTACATTTACTTTTGTCATTAGTATATATTGAGAATAATTGTATCCCCAGCGTTGATTCCTGTGGCACTTGCTAGTAACACATTCCCCATCCTGAAAATGCCTACTTTATCCCAACTCACTGATTTCTATTAGTTAGCCAATTCTGTATCCAGCTAATATACTACCCCCAAAACCATTTTATTAAGTAACACTTATGTACTGTACCATATTGAATGCCTTTTGGAAATCCAAAGATATTACATCTATTCGTACCCCTTTACCTTGTCTGCTTGTTCCTTCCTCAAAGAACTCTAATAGATTTGTCAGGTATGATTTTCCCTTCATGAAGGTATGCTAACTCTGCTTGATTATATTGTGTGGCTCTAAAATGCTCTATTACATCTTTTATAATAGACTTGTAATATTTTCCTGAAAGCTTCTCGCTTTCAGCGGCGGATGTGTGGAGAGAACGTGAGCCAGGAAGGAACTAATATATTCAGGCATTGCCTAAACCTGAAACACTACAAGTGTAGTGTCTCCCACCCATTCTCCTCCTCTAACCAAACAAAAAGGCTGTGTGGACGGTTGGTAAGGTAAATCTAGAGTAGAGGGAATGGAAGCTAGGGCAGTTGCATGCTCCTCTTGCAGGATGTGGGAGGTAAGGGTCACTGCTGGTGTCCCCTCTGACTTCACCTGCGAGAAGTGCACCCAACTCCAGCTCCTCACAAACAGCATTAGGGAGCTGGAGCTGGAAGAACTCTGGATCATTCGGAGGGGGTGATAGAGAGGAGTTATAAGGAGGTGGCCACACCCAAGGTACAGGAAAAAGGTAGTTGGATGACTGTCAGGAAGGGGAAAGGGGATAGGCAGACAGTGCAGGGATCCCCTGTGGCCGTTCCCCTCAATAATAAGTATACCGTTTTGGATACTGTTGGTGGGGGGTACCTACCAAGGGAAGGCCATAGCGGACAGGTCTCTGGCACTGAGCCTGGCCCTGTGGCACAGAAGGGAAGGTGGGAGAATAGGAGAGCAATTGTAGTGGGGGATTCGATAATAAGAGGCATGGACAGGCGTTTCTGTGGACGCAAACAAGATGAAAGGATGGTATGTTGCCTCCCGGGTGCCAGGGTCCATGATGTCTCGGATCGTGCCTTCAAGATCCTTAAGGGGGAGGGTGAGCAACCAGCAGTCATGGTACACATCGGTACCAATGACATAGGTAGAAAAGGGACTGAGAATGTGAAAAACGAATACAGGGAGTTAGGTTGGAAGCTGAAGTCCAGGACAAACAGGGTAGTTATCTCTGGATTACTACCAGTGCCACGTGATAATGAGGTAAGAAATAGGGAGAGAGTGCAGCTAAACACGTGGCTACAGGGCTGGTGTAGGAGGGAGGGCTTCCATTATGTGGATAATTGGAGCACATTCTGGAGAAGGTGGGACCTGTACAGTAAGGATGGGTTGCACCTGAACTGGAAGGGCACAAATATCCTGGGAGGGAGGTTTGCTCGAGCTATACGGGATGGTTTAAACTAGATTGGCAGGGGGTGGGGAACCGGATTTGTAATTTAGAGGATGAGGTATTCAGCCTTCCAACAGACACAACAGGGAGTGAGGTTGTTAATAAAGAAATGCGATCGATGGAGCGTAATTGTGGACACAGGGATGGTTTGAGGTGTATATACTTCAATGCTAGAAGTATCAGAAATAAGGCGGATGAACTTAGAGCATGGGTCAGTACTTGGAACTACGATATTGTTGGGTAACTCAGCGACAGCAATGGTTGTTGGAAGTTCCGGGATTTAGATGCTTTAAAAAAAATAGGGAGGGTGGTAAAAGAGGCGGGGGAGTGGCATTGCTAGTCAGGGCTAGTATAGCAGCTACTGAAAGGCAGTTCGAGAATGATGTGTCTTACAGAGTCAGTTTGGGTTGAGGTCAGGAACAAAGGATCAATCACTTTGGGGGTTTTTTACAGACTCCCTAATAGTTGCAGAGAAGTGGAGGAGCAGATTGGGAGGCAGATACTGGAAAGGTGCAGAAGTCACAGGGTGGTAGTCATGGGTGACTTCAACTTTCCAAATATTGATTGGAAACTTTTTAGTTGTAATAGTTTAGATGGAGCGGATTTTGTCCAGTGCGTTCAGGAAGGATTCCTGACACAGTACATTGATAGACCAACACGAGGAGAGGCCACTTTGGATTTGGTGCTTGGCAATGAACCGGGCCAAGTGTTAGACCTGTTGGTAGGAGAGCGTTTTGGTGGTAGTGATCATAACTCTGTTACTTTTACAATAGTCATGGAAAAGGATAGGTACATACAGCAGGGTAAGGTTTATTATTGGGGGAAGGGTAATTACAATTCTGTTAGGCAAGAACTGGGTAACTTAAATGGGAACAGATGCTGTCAGGGAAGAGCACTATTGAAATGTGGAAATTGTTTAAGGAATGCAAACTGTGTGTGCTTGATATGTTTGTCCCTAGTAGGCAGGGAAGATGTGGTTGAGTGAGGGAGCCTTGGTTCTCAAGCGAGGTCGAACGACTGGTTAAGAGGAAGAAGGATGCTTGTATAACGTTTAGGAAACAAGGAACGGAAAAGACTCTAGAGGGATACAAGTTAGCCAGGAAGGAGCTGAAGAAAGGGTTTAGGAGAGCTATAAGGGGCATGAGAAAACCTTGGCAGATAGGATCAAGGAAATATCCAAGGCTTTTTACACGTACGTGAGGAATAAGAGAATGACCAGAGAAAGGGTAGGGCCAATCAAGGATTGTAAAGGGAATTTGTGCACGGAGCCTAGAGAGATAGGAGAGGTCCTTATGAATACTTTTCTTCGGTATTCACAACTGAGAGGGACCTAGTTGTAGAAGAGGACAGTGTGAAAGGGGCTGGTAGGCTAGAGGAGGTTGATGTTAGTAAAGAAGATGTACTAGGAATTTTGAGGAACTTGTAGACAAGTCCTCCGGGCCTGATGGGATTTAACCAAGGATTCTGTGGGAAGCGAGGGAAGAGATTGCAGGGCCTTTGGCGATGATCTTTTCGTCCTCACTATCCAAGGGAATAGTGCCGGAAGGTTGGAGAGAGGCAAACATCATTCCCTTGTTCAAAAAGGGAATAGGGATAATCCTGGAAATTACAGGCCAGTTAGTCTTGCGTCAGTGGTGGGCAAATTATTGGAAAGGGCTCTGAGAGATAGGATTTATGATCACTTGGATAGGCACAGTTTGATTCGTGATAGTCAGCATGGATTTGTGAGGGGTAGATCATGCCTCACAAACCTTATTGAATTCTTTGAAGAGGTGACCAAACACGTGGATGAAGGTAGAGCAGTGGATGTGGTATACATGGATTTAAGTAAGGCGTTTGATAAGGTTCCCCATGGTAGGCTCATGCAGAAAGTAAGGAGGCATGGGATAGGGGGAAATGTGGCAGATTGGATTCAGAATTGGCTGACCCTTAGAAGACAAAGGGTGGTAGTGGATGGAAAATATTCAACATGGTGCTCAGTTACGAGTGGTGTATCACAGGGATCTGTTCTGGGTCCTCTTCTATTTGTGATTTTTGTAAATGATTTGGATGAAGGAGTGGAAGGGTGGATTAGAAAGTTCGTGGAACATACAAAGGTGGGTCAAGTTGTGGATAGTGCAGAGGGCTGTTCTAGGTTACAAAGGAACATTGATAGGATGCAGAGCTGGGCTGAGAAGTGGCAGATGGAGTTTAACCCCGAAAAATGTGAGGTGATTCATTTTGGAAGGACAAATTTGAAAGCAGAATACAGGGTTAACGGAAAGATTCTTGGCAGTGTGGAGGAGCAGAGGGATCTTGGGGTTCATGCCCACAGTTCCCTGAAAGCTGCCACCCAGGTGG